ATTAATTATTAATATATTTACAAAAATATATATAAATAAATTTATATTTTTTTATTTTATATGAATCCCCACGGTTTTCCACGGGGTGAAGGAAATTCCCTACGAAATTTTACGGGGGAAAAAATGCCTCCATCCCTACCCTACAAGAAGGAATATTCTTAGAATTTCTATTCCCGTGGCAAGGATCTCCACGAAGCTCTATGGGTCGTGGAGGAAATTGCCATCCCTAATCACGTGTACTGAAATCAGACTAATAGGAGGTCATAGAGGAAATCAATCAATTCTATTCTTTGACCGACAATAAGAGAAATTGATTAATTTTATTAATTTATTGTATGTTGAGAAAGTTTGATTATTTTTTTTATTGAGTTAATTTTTTATTCGGATGAAGTGATTGATTTTATCTTGGATCTCTAATTTTGTTGAAGTTAGAATTTATGATTTAGTAAATCTTAGGACATCATAATATCTTAATTTAAAAAAATTAAATGCTTGATCATTGAATCATATTATAAATGAGTTTATTTTTTTAATGAAATTAGTGCCTAATTTTTAAAATTTTTTTGGAATTAAAAGTTCTGTGTTTGCATTTCTTTTTAGCTAAAATAGTTTTTCTTACTATGTTATTTGCGTGCATTTAACTATTTGTGAACTTTCCTAATTGCTTTTCTAGTAAGAATTTTCCTAATAAAGTTTTACACTAACCAAACAGCCCTCAAAGAGTTAAAGCTGGCAAGCAACAGGATGGAGAGAAGTCTCCATATTCCAGGTAGTTGCTTACATAACGCGAGATCCAATATATGAGATCCAATTTTAACATTGTGTTTTTTTGAGGGACTCAAAACTGCTCACTAATTGTAAACATACAAATAATGCTTATTTTTATTTTAAAAAAATTAAAATTTTTATAATATTAATAGTGACAATAACCACATTATTTTTTTATGTAATTTCTCATGAGAAATAATTTGGAGAAGCTACAATAAAAATTAATTTTTGT